AAGTCATGTATCCTGGCTTCACGTAATGTGGCACACAACCCCAGTCTCCTCTTCTTCCGTACCTTAAGAAAAATAGTATGAATTGCAGCACACAGGAAAACACATGACTCATTGAAAACACAGACTTTACTTGCAAATATAACCAAGGCATGGGGATGCTGCCTGAAATCTCTCTGGTCTTTCTTTTGAACATGAATGGCCACCGAGATCACTCGTGTCTCATAAATGCCATAAATCCATATGGCTTTTACTTGTTTATTTAACACCCACTGCTAATCTGACTCAAATGTATTCTTTCAGTTTTGTTCCAGGTTTCTTTGCAGATATCTTAATAGACAGTGTAAAAACCCCTTTTGATGAAATCATTCATGTTTTTCGGTTTGCCTTTAAGAGACAGATGCCCACTGCAAGACAAATAATGACCCATGCTGACTGTTTACTTTCTGGAGAGTTGTGGGTTTTTTATAATCCCAAGGGGTGTTTTCTTTCCTCCTCCAGACTGAAATTCTTAGCTGCTGATTTTGTGAATTAGACTGCTTTCTTTCTTTTGTATTTAGCTTAAAAAGGAAAAGGTTATTAGTACAGTGATAGCATTCATGAAATTCATATACTATGTATGCTATAAGAAACACTCCATGTTATGTATAATTAATAGTTGTTTGACAATATAAAAAAGAAACAGTTTTCTCAAGTTTTTTTTGTAACTCAATTAATTATTGGGTTGTTGTAGGTTTTTTCAGGCTATATCTGAAATGCAAAGATACAGAATGGGGGACGCCTGGCTCGAGAGCAGTACGTGTGAAAAAGATCTTGGAGTCCTCGTGGACAACAAGTTAAACATGAGCCAACAATGTGATGTGGCGGCAAAAAAAGCCAATGGGATTTTGGCCTGCATCAATAGGAGCATAGTGTCTAGATCCAGGGAAGTCATCCTACCCCTCTATTCTGCTTTGGTTAGACCACACCTGGAATTGTGTCCAATTCTGGGCGCCACAATTCAAGCGAGATATTGACAAGCTGGAATGTGTCCAGAGAGGGCGACTAAAATGATCAAGGGTCTGGAGAACAAGCCCTATGAGGAGCGGCTTAAGGAGCTGGGCATGTTTAGCCTGAAGAAGAGAAGGCTGAGAGGAGATATAATAGCCATGTATAAATATGTGAGAGGAAGCCACAGGGAGGAGGAGCAAGCTTGTTTTCTGCTTCCTTGGAGACTAGGACGCGGAACAATGGCTTCAAACTACAAGAGAGGAGATCCATCTGAACATTAGGAAGAACTTCCTGACTGTTGAGAGCTGTCAAGCAGTGGAACTCTCTGCCCCGGAGTGTGGTGGAGGCTCCTTCTTTGGAAGCTTTTAAACAGAGGCTGGATGGCCATCTGTCAGGGGTGATTTGAATGCAATATTCCTGCTTCTTGGCAGAATGGGTTGGACTGGATGGCCCATGAGGTCTCTTCCAACTCTTTGATTCTATGATTCTATATGCATCTACACTGTAGATTTAATTGTGCCTCCACCACACTCCGGGGCAGAGAGTTCCACTGCTGAACAGCTCTCACAGTCAGGATGTTATTATTATTATTATTATTATTATTAAACTTTATTTGTACCCCGCTAGCATCTCCCAAAGGACTCGATGCGGCTTACAAAGGCCAAGGCCTCAATACACAACATAACAATACACCTAAAGCAAATTAAAACAATTAAAGCAGTATTAAAACAACAAAACCACAAGCAATAAACAATACATCAACAAGATAAAACTGGGCCAGGTCAGAGTAGAGGGTACAGGATTAAAAAGTGCTGATGTGACAGGTGATATTATAGGGTAAGTGCAGTGTGCAGTGTGTGGTAGTGTTTAATTCTAATAAAGTGCTTCTGGGACTTGGTATTGGAGATTCCTAATCGGGAGAGGCACATCGGAACAGCCAGGTCTTCAAATTCTTTCTGAAGACTGCCAATGTAGGGGCCTGTCTAAGATCTTTGGGGAGAGTGTTCCAGAGACGGGGGGCCACCACGGAAAAGGCCCTGTCTCGTGTCCCCACCAAACGTGCATGCGACGCAGGCGGGATCACGAGCAGGGCCTCTCCAGATGAGCGTAGTGAACGCGTGGGTTCGTAGATGGAGATGCGGTCACGCAGGTAGGCTGGTCCCAAACCGTTCAGGGCTTTGTAGGTAAGCACCTGCACCTTAAATTGGGCTCAGAAGATAAACAGCAGCCAGTGGAGCTCCTTGAACAGGAGGGTTGACCTCTCTCTGTAGGGAGCACCAGTTAACATCCTGGCTGCTGCTCGTTGGACAAGTTGGAATTTCCGAGCCGTTTTCAAGGGCAGCCCCACGTAGAGCGCATTACAGTAATCCAACCTAGAGGTGACCAAGGCATGGACCACCCCGGCCAGATTCCATATATCTGTGGAATGACCAGGGTGGGACAAAGGACTCTTGTCTGCTGGAGCTATTCCACAGATATATAAACCCTTTTTCCTAGTTCCAAGAGACCTCACTACCTCTGAGGATGCTTGCCATAGATGCAGGCAAAACATCAGGAGAGAGTGCCTCTAGACCACGGCCATATAGCCCGAAAAAGACCTACAACAGCCCAGTGATTCCGGCCATGAAAGCCTTCGACAATACCAAGTAATTATGTTTCTATACAGATTTTCACTGTATTTTCTCCTGTGAACGTTTCATTAGACTCTTCACATTAAAGATTAGGATGGGTTCACATTGCAGACCCTTGTAATTTTGTGCTATTTTTAAATTCTGTGGTCTTTTTATCAGAACATCTTGAGAAATGTAGTCCCAACAAAAACACTGTTGGAGATGCCAAGATCTTTAATAGAGCTACCATATATACTCGAGTATAATCCAACTTGAATATAAGCTGGGGCACCTAATTTTACCACAAAATACTGGGGAAACATGCTGACTTGAGCATACGTCGAGGGTGGGAAAATACAGCAGCTACTGGTAAATTTCAAAATAAAAACAAATACCAATAAAATTACATTAATTGAGTTATCAGTAGATTAAATGTTTTTGAATATTTGCATGTAATTGAAGATAAGACTGTCAAACTCTGATTAAACCATTATTCTAAGCTTCTTCAATGTAAATGTGCTTACGTATCCTTCCAATAATAATAATAAAGAGAGTATTTAGTTATTTATTTATTTTGTACATTCGTACTCCATCCTTCTCACCCCCGAGGGGAAACTCAGGGCAGCTTTACAACAGGCACTACTCAGTGCCATCCACATTCATAAAAATATATTTAAAAACAATTAAATTAAAATGTTACAATAAAAGGCATTACAAAAAAACAACGGCCGGGTCAGTCCATGGTCATTCATATGACTTGAGTCTTATTCTCGATTGCTGCCTCTGTCGTTCAAACGCTTGGTCCCATAGCCAGGATTTGAGTTTTTTTCTAAAGGACAGTAGGGAGGTAGCCAATCTGATGTCACTAGGAAGAGAGTTCCACAAGCGAGGGGCCACCACTGAGAAGGCCCCGTCCCTCGTTCTCACCAGTCGCGCTTGCAATGGTGGTGGGATCGAGAACAGGGCCTCTCCAGCTGGTCTTAAACTTTGTTATGGTTCTTAATGGGAGATACGTTCAGACAGGTAATCTGGGCCAGAACCGTTCAGGGCTTTAAAATAGTAAATGTAATAATAACAATAATAAATAGAATAAAATAATAATGCAATAATAATAATAGAGTAAATAATACCTTTTATAACAATAGAGTAAAATAATAAATGTTATAATAACAATAATAATACAGTAAAATAATGTAAATGCTTACTTACTTACTTTACTTACTTACTTAGGTGATCCCTCGTTGGCCAGGTAGGATAATCGTCCAAGATCAGTATTCTTGTGAGTCCGTAGGTGACTGTGGAGCCCTATTCTTGATTTGCATCTTTTCCCGCAGTGAGAGCATTGGTTTCCAGGTGGAAGGCGGTCTCGATCAGGATTGGCTTGACGCACCTTCCTCTTGGCATGTTTCTCTCTTTTGCCCTCCATTTGTGCCTCTTCAAATTCTGCAGCACTGCTGGTCACAGCTGACCTCCACTTAGAGCTCTCAAGGGCCAGGGCTTTTCAGTTCTCGGTGTCTATGCCAGAGTTTTTAAGGTTTAAGGGTTTAAGTCCATCTTTAAATGTCCAGTCTCGATAAAATAAGTAGAGACATCAGACTGGCAACAAAGATCCGCCTAGTCAAAGCCATGGTATTCCCTGTAGTAACCTACGGATGTGAGAGCTGGACCTTAGGGAAGGCTGAGCGAAGGAAAGATCGATGCTTTTGAGCTGTGGTGCTGGAGGAAAGTTCTGAGAGTGCCTTGGACTGCGAGAAGATCCAACCAGTCCATCCTCCAGGAAATAAAGCCCGGACTGCTCACTGGAGGGAAGGATACTAGAGACAAAGTTGAAGTACTTTGGCCACATCATGAGAGGACAGCAAAGCCTAGAGAAGACAATTATGCTGGGGAAGGTGGAAGGCAAAAGGAAGTGGGGCCGACCAAGGGCAAGATGGATGGATGGCATCCTTGAAGTGACTGGACTGACCTTGAAGGAGCTGGGGGTGGTGACCGCCGACAGGGAGCTCTGGCGTGGGCTGGTCCATGAGGTCACGAAGAGTCGGAGACGACTGAACGAATGAACAACAACAAAATAATAACCTTGTCTTGAGTTTAAGCCAAGGAGGGGCTTTTTCAGCCTAAAAAGGGGGCTGAAAAACTCTGCTTATACTCGAGTATGTACGGTATATTTCCTAAATCTAATGCAGATCCAATACTCTTAATGTATACCTTTATAATACCAATAAGAAAGCCTCCAATGTGCATGCCATGTTTCTAGAATGCCGTTCATCACTTTGATTCATTTAGGATATTCTTTAGTTATGGTAGACTGTGAAATCTTAGTTCAGTTGAGGTTTGCTATTCCTAACAACTCTGATATGGTCTGGCAACAGATTACTAAGAGTGTCTTTCTCTTCTGTCCAGGTGATGGATCCCATAGATTCTGCTGCTAATGAAGGAAACCCTACAACAGCCAGTGAACAACAGCAAGGACAATAACATGGCATCTAAAATAACGGTTATGATTTTTTACTCAAGTAATAGAGACTGCTCTGAATTTTTAAACTGGAAAATTTCTTACGATTTATTATGAGAAGAATTGTCTTTTGTACACTTGCACATATATTTTTGTGAAAACGCACATCAGAATGCTTTAAATCCATATTTTTTAAAGTGCCAAACTGATATTCAATAAACCTGTGCCTTCAGAAGGGTGTTCCCTATGAGGTGGATAGTGCTTCCAAAATATTGTGTATAAGGCTTTCTGACTAATACCTTATTACAGGTGTTTAGCTGCCGCAGGGGGTAAATTAAATATATCGCACGGATTGTTTGGTTGGCTGTCAATGTGGAATTATGCTTTGGTCGGACCGTAGATAACCAGGCAAATATAATTAGGCGGTGATCATGCAGTGTGAGGTAAGGCTGGATTATGGTTAATCTGAGACCATTTCATAATGGCTTCCTAGCCCGGTTCTTCCCAGATCTACCACAACTGTCTTTTGGGCCATTTGATATTTTTTCGAGCCAGTTTATTTTCTGTAGCTAGTTGTAAGATGATTGAACAATAACGCAGAATATATAAGAAGCAAGAAAACATGTTTCCTTTTAAACACAAATCCTCACATCAAGGATTTCATAATTATTATTTTTTTGTCGTTCGGGGCTAACTATGTTCATTGCATCTCTTGCATCAATACTGAGGAATTGCAAAAAAAAATCTTAGGTGTGAAGAAATGCAACGTGTAGTTGCCTATTCCCCCTGCAGAAATGTAGTTTGCTTCCCAATAAAGAAGTATCCTACCACAATGTTTAATTGTGTAATACAAATAATATTCTGTACATTGAAGATGTGGTAGTTATTCCTACATGTGGTAGTTATTCCTTTTGTGCCAGTTTTTGCTTCTGTTTTACATTTTTTTAGCATTTAAAGGTGACTTTGAATTTCAAGAATTTCACAGGTATCTATCTGTGACCACATTTTCATCGTCTTTCCTTTGGAAAGAATAATGAAGAAAAAAAGCTCAAAGTTTGAGCAGAAGCATTTGAACACCAAAGATACTTGGGAGAATCTGAAAACCTTGATTTTGGAGAGCAGCAACCCTACAGGAAATGTGTCATCTTCTTTCTTGCAGCAGAGGAGGAAAATGGAAGCTTGTGGTTTTAAACTAACTAGTTTTGCATGCTGTTTGAACTGCAGTTATTAGCCAAGAAATGAAATGTGATGTGATGTGATCCTGACTAGTTCTCCCCACTGCTTGAGAAAAGACCCCAAGGGGTCGTAGCCCACCCCGGGGACTGGGTTTGCCCATAGCTGTCCTAAACCATAAATGTGTACTAATGTCAAACGATATCCAAAATTATGAGGAAATAGGGGTTCGTTCAAGCACTGCTCTATGACAGGTATGGGCAAATTCAGGCCCAGGGATGGGATGCGGCCCCTTGGGCTCTTTTCTCAAGCCCTCCCTTCTCTCACCACCCTATCATTCCTTCTTTCTCTCTTTCCTTCCTCTTTCCCTCCCTCTTTCTCCTTCCCTTTCGCCCTTCTTTCCTTCTCTTCCCTTCCCGTCCCTTCCCTTTCACCCTTTCATCCTTCCCTCCTTCGTTCCCTTTTGTCTTTCCCTCTTTCCACAAGATGCAGAGCTAACCTTAATAAATGGGGCCACAAAGTGGAGTCCACGACATGTGAATGTGGAAAAGAACAAACCACAGACTACCTACTACAATACAGCCTGAGCCCTGCCACATGCACAATGGAGGACCTTTTCATAGCGACACCAGAGGCACCCCAAGTGGCCAGCTCTTTCCCTCTGTCCCTCTTTCTCCTTCCACCCTTCCTTCCTTCCCTCTTTACTCCCTCTTTCTTTATTCTTCCTTCCTTTATTTCTTTYCTTCTCTCTTTACTTTATCCTTCCTTCCATCCATCCTTCTCTTCATCCTTTTGTTCCTTCCTTCTAATTTTCCTTCCTCCTTCCCTTCCATCCTTCCTCCGTTCCCTTTTGTCTTTCCTTTCTTCCCTCTTCCCTCCCTCCTTCCCACCCTCTTTCTCCTTCCATCCTTCCCTTCCTCCCTTTCGTTTTTCCTTTGTTTTCCTTCCTTCGCTCTTTCCTCCCTCCTTCCCACTCACCCTCTTTTTCCTTCCATCCTTCGCTTCCTCCCTTTCGTCCTTCTTCCCTTCTCTCTTTTCTTCCTCCTTCTCTTCCTTCCTTCCATAATTGGGCAGCCGGTCCTCCTAGTAGGGAGTGCTAGCATGCGGCCCCAAGTTGGAAAATTTGCCCAGGCCTGGCCTAGGAAGTATAAAATTACTGGTACTTGTTTTTTAGACACCCCTCACCCCTCATGCACTTGAACAACGCTTCACCATAATCGGAATGTTTGTCCATATGTTTTGAGATGGGAAAAAGACCTAGAAAATACAGGTTTCTCTAAACATTGGTGAATAAAAAGCTGGATTGTTTAAGGGCCCTTCCACACAGCCCTATATCCCAGAATATCAAGGTAGGAAATCTAACATTATCTGAGTGTGGACTCAGATAACCCAGAGTCCACACTCAGATAATGTGGGATTTTCTGCCTTGATATTCTGGGATATAGGGCTGTGCGGGTTTTCGCACAGCCACACTCAGATAATGTGGGATTTTCAGCTGTGATGTTATGGGATATATAGGGCTGTGTGGAAGGGGCCTCAGCTTCTAAAGAGAATAGGTTCCCTTCCTTGGGCTTCCCCTTCACTCACTGTGTGGACAGTGGGAGTGAAGGAATGCCAGTTCCTTCATTGAGGCAGTAAACTATAATGTCAACATTGAGGTCTTTCCCTGAAGCAGGACATGAGTAGCCTTGAGTTTTGGACTAAGGGGACGACCATAGTTGGAAGGGATATGTTTACAATCTCTTGTAACTGCAAGCACAATCAACCAAGACCTTCTCCTGTGTACACTCAGTTTAAACGACTGGAAGTTTCATGAAATTACCTGTGTGATAGTTTTAGTTCACTGAGACTTTCTGTGTAGAACGATGTACTTGTCAAAGGAAATGTTTCCTCCCCCTTCACTGAAACAGATCAATAAACTGCTGGGTGATATGGGGAATGCATTGGATAGAGCCAAGGCCACTAAATGGTTTTCGTATAGGTGATTCACCCACAAGGTTTACAAGCCTGAGAAACTTGAAGTGAGAACCACCAAGCATTTTCATCCCATCCCCTAACAGGAGCCTTTTAGGTTGTTCCGCAGTCGGCATCAACTAATTAAAACATGGCAGACTTAGATCCTGTTCTGTAGTTTCAAAAAACCTAAATAAACCTGATTAATGGGGTTACATAATGCTTTTGATTGGGGGCGGGAGAGTGATATTGTAGCTAAAACCCCATTTCTTTGGAATCATCTGCAATGAAATGAAGAGGAATTTCCTTAACCTATCTTGAGAAAATTGGAAATATTGTGGTCTCTTTTTACATTACAGTTTTGCTATAAAGACCTCTTTTCCTAAGTGTGTAGACTGATAGAGGAATGTCGTATTTAATTGTGAATGGATCAATTGAAATCTTATTTCGCCATGGATGTAGCAGAGGAATTATTTGGCAGCGTGCTTAGCAAACAAGCATTCTTTGGAAAGTCTCTGGCCAAGAACTAGTGGTGTATTTTGGGATCTGTCAGCACCGAAATTAGGGTTTTCTTCCCTTCCTGCTCCTGCTGTCGCTCTTTGTGGGGCTGTAGACAGGCTCCAAATTTGTATTTCAAAACATAAGCAGGGGAGGGATCCAGGATGGAGAAGGGATTGATGGTTTTGCTGGAAGCAATAGGACTTAGCAGAAATGCACCACTGGCTCTACGAGTCAAGATATGATCCATTTCCAGGACTGTCATATGCTGTTGTTGATTCTGTAGTATTAAATTAACAGGCTGTGCATGGATTATCAAAATAATAATAATAATAGTAATGTTAGGAGATGGATTGCTTGGCAATTGGCTACTGAATGGCATGTCATTAATGTAGAGCTGAGTAGAATTAACCTTGATAATTTCTATATGTTTGAAAAATCTAACTGGCCTTCTCCACTTCAAAAGCCTTAATAACAATAACAATAATAATAATAATGCAGTCATGGCCGTGATTTTGATAACTACCTTCTTTTTCCACTTTACCTCTGAAACCCTGTATATTTGTTTCCTAAGACTGTTATCATTTAGAGCAATATTTGGTATTTAATAAAGACTTTCGTAATAATTGAAATACTATCCTTGCTTGTCTTTGTTCTCTGGTTTGAATGTGAAAGAAAAGTCTGGTTCACCTCGAACTAGCCTTTCCCAACCTGGTACCTTCCAAAGCAGACAAGCATCTCCAGCGCGGAGGTTTCCTTGGGAAGGAATCCCACTGGAGCACTGCAGCACACTCAGATACCTGAGAGTCACTCTGGACCGTGCTCTGACTTAATAAGAAGTACTGTTACAATCCTGTGGGGCGGCTTCTCTCATGTCCCAAAGACCTGTCAGCAGCATATGATACTGAACCCTTTACATCTACTGAATTGGACATGGCTCTCAATAAATGTAAGAATGGCAAAGCAGCTGGCTTGGATGATCTATGGATGGAACAAATCAAGAACTTTGGCCCAAAAGCAAAGTGCTGGCTGCTGGAGCTGATGAACAACTGCACTGCATCCTGTCAGATCCCCAAAATCTGGAGGAAAGCAAGAGTCATCGCCATCTTGAACCAGGCAAAGACCGTAATGATCCAAAAAGCTACAGACCAATCTCCCTGTTGTGCCACCTCTACAAAGTTCTGGAGAGACTTATTCTGCATAGAATTATGGAAAAATAGACCCATGTCTGATTCCACAGCAAGCTGGCTTCAGGAAAGGCAAAAGCTGCACATCGCAAGTGCTGAACCTGACTCAGCACATAGAAGATGGCTTTGAAAGGCAGCAGATCACAGGAGCTGTCTTCATAGACCTGTCAGGGCTATGATACTGTGAACCACCGCCTCCTCCTGAGTAAAATGTATAATATCACAAAGGACTACCACCTCACCCGCCTCATAGGAAACCTGCTACAAAACAGGAGCTTTTTTGTTGAGTTCCAGGGCCAAAGAACCAGATGGGCAAAAACAGAATAATGGCCTGCCCCAAGAGAGTGTGCTTGCTCCATCAATGTTTAACATTTACACAAATGACCAGCCACTGCCAGAAGGGACAGAGAATTTCATCTATGCTGACGATCATGCCATCACCACTCAAGCAGGGAGCTTTGAAGTGGTTGAAAAAAAAAAAACCTCTCTGAAGCTTTAGGTGCTCTTACTGCCTATAACAAGGAAAGCCAGCTGATTCCTAATCCATCTAAAATGCAGCCATGTGCTTTTCATCTAAAGAACAGACAAGCATCTTGAGCTCTGAGAATTACCTGGGAAGAAATCCCACTAGAGCATTGCAGCACACCAAAATACCTAGGGGTTACTCAGGACCATGCTCTGACTTACAAGAAACATTACTTGAATATCAAGCAAAAAAGTGTATGCTAGAAACAATATCATATGAAAGCTGACTGGCACAACCTGGGGATCACAACTAGACACAGTGAAGACCTCTGCCCTTGTGCTTTGCTACTCTGCTGCTGAATATGCATGCCCAGTGTGGAACACATCTCACCATGCTAAACAGTGGATGTGCTCTTAATGAGATATGGCACACAGGATGTCTATGCCCAACACCATTGGAGAAATTACTCTGTTTAGCTGGTATTGCACCACCTGACATCCGTCGGGAGGTAGCAACCAATAATGAAAGGACAAAGGCAATGACATCTCTGGCCCATCCTCTGTTCAGATATCAGCAGAGGTGGTCCTAGATAATTTTCAATGGTAAGCAAACAGTATTTTGCCCCCTCCCCCCAACCAATCACTGATATATATTTTCTGTGTCATCGTGGGAGTTCTGTGTGCCATATTTGGTTCAATTCCATCATTGGTGGAGTTCAGAATGCTCTTTGATTGTAGGTGAACTATACATCCCAGTAACTACAACTCGCATATGTCAAGGTCTATTTTCCCCCAAGAGCGCCTCAAGAGCGCCCTTGGGCAAAATCAACTATACTGCAAATGCTTACTTTGCGTAATGGGTTGAGCCGCCCCTGTTAACAGCTGTATCACCAATTCCAGTTGAATTCCACATATACATGAAAACCAATCTTAGGGGCTCTAGCAGGCTAAAACCCAGCACCTCAATCCATGGTTGATACCAAATGAGAGACTCCCTCCTGGGCACACAGAAGACTGGGTGACTTGGAAGGTGCTGAACAGACTGTGCTCTGGCACCACAAGATGCAGAGCCAACCTTAAGAAATGGGGCCACAAAGTGGAGTCCACGACATGCGAGTGCGGAGAAGAGCAAACCACAGACCACCTACTACAATGCAGCCTGAGCCCTGCCACATGCACAATCGAAGACCTTTTCATAGCGACACCAGAGGCACCGCAAGTGGCCAGCTTCTGGTCAAAGGTCAATTTAGTATAATACCAAGTTTTTTTAAACTTTGTGTTTTTAATATGCATGTTAATTATACCCTCAACTCGCTTCTAACACAATAAATAAATAACCCTCCAGATGTTCCTCTACATTACCTATTGTTATAGCTCAGCATAGCCCTTAATGGAGGAAGACTTAAACTTACAAAGCTACATTGAGAAAGCTGGAATGAAAGGCCTGATAGAAGAGGAATGTGTTTTGCAGAGGAATTTGTGTGGAAACATCTCTGGGACAACAACTTGATAATGCCGTGCGGATCAGCAAAGCCTGCAGGCCGGTTTTTAAAAAGAAGGTAAGGTTGATGCCCTATCGAGAGTCATTTAATGTGATTATGATTACATGTATTATTATTATTACTAGTAGCAATATTAACAGTAGTACTACCACCATTATTATAATATTGTCGTGATATATGATGTAATATATTTATACAAGAGGCCCCTGGTAGTGCAGCGGGTTAAACCGCTGAGCTGCTGAACTTACTTATTATTTACTTTATTTACTTTATTTGTATACCGCTCTTCTCAGCCCTTAGGCGACTCAGAGCGGTTAACAACAACACTTTCAATATACATAGTACAAAATCATTGGACATTTAAAGCAATAGTAAACAATTAATTAAACATCAGGTATCAAACATCAATATAACAAATCCATCACATCTCATCGATAGAATCAGAATCCAGTCTCATTATCCTTATTCCGTGTTCCAATAATCAATTACACTGCCTAGTCGAATGCCTGTTCGAAAAGCCAGGTCTTCACTTTCCTCCGGAATGCCAACAGGGAGGGGGCCGATCTGATTTCTGTAGGAAGGGCGTTCCACAGCCGAGGGGCCACCACTGAGAAGGCCCTGTCTCTCGTCCCCGCCAGGCATGCTTGTGAAGCTGGCGGGATCGAGAGAAAGGCCTCCTAAAGGTCGCCTGTTTGAATCCAGGGAGTGGGGTGAGCTCCCGCTGTTAGGCCCAGCTCCTGCCAAGCTAGCAGTTCAAAAACATGCAAATGTGAGTATTATTTATTTATTTATTTATTTATTTATTTGCCTTACTTATATACCACTGTTCTCAGCCCGAAGGCGACTCACAGTGGTTCACAACAATACGAACAGCAAAAATTCAGTGCTACAGTATAAAAACAGTTAACAACCTAACACATTACACAATTAATAAACAGTTACTACAATACCCATTCACTGTCGTCTCATCATCAAAAACATGTTCCAGATTCGTCATCCATTGTTCCATTCCAGTGTTCATTAACCAATCATTGCACTAATTATTGGAACGCCTGCTCAAACAGCCAGGTCTTCACTTTTTTGCGGAATACCATTAGAGATGGTGCTAGTCTAATGTCCGTAGGAAGGGCGTTCCACAGCCGAGGAGCCACCACCGAGAAGGTCCTATCTCTCGTCCCCGCAAGTACCGCTTTGGCGGGAAGGTAACTGATCCATGCAGTCATGCTGGCCACATGACCTTGGAGGTGTCTATGGACAACGCCGGATCTTTGGCTTAGAAATGGAGATGAGTACCACCCCCAAGAATCAGACTGGAAACCTTTATCTATCTCATCAAGTCTCAACCCATTCAACATAGTTTGTGGCAGTCACAAAAGTGAAGTTTCTGGAGTCGAACAACCACTTTCAAAGTAAGTGTTCTTTATTTACTGTTCCGATTTCATTTCTGGAAATAAAATTCCATCAGGATTAAATGCAATATCTTTGTCCTGTAGAATAAACTATTCTTTGAACTATTCCGTTGTTTTACCAGCATCTGTCCAAGAAAAATTCCCCTAATTTTAAAAAGAAACCTCTTGTATATTTCTGGCCAGATTGCCCCTTGTCCCTATAAAGTGTTTATTTTAGAAGCTTTTTGCTGTCTGCAATAGTTTTATAGCAGTGAGATCAGGTTACAACTGGTTTGGTGAGATATCAGCTCACAAGATAAGAAGAGGCCTGGGCCAATTGGGCCGAGATCAAGCTGATCCTGCCCGTCGGCTTCACTGGAACCAAGCACTATGACCATGCTCTTACCTACAAGAAGCATTGCCTGAACATCAAGCAAAAAGTGGGTGCTAGAAACAATATCAAACAGTTCGAATAGTCTGAGCTGCAGATAAAAGCAACAACTCAATGGCAACAACACACCAACACAACATCAATATCATACGAAAGCTGACTGGCACAACCTGGGGATCACAACCAGATACAGTGAAGACATCTGCCCTTGCGCTGTGCTACTCCGCTGCTGAGTGTGCATGCCCAGTGTGGAACACATTTCACCACACTAAAACAGTGGATGTGGCTCTTAATGAGACATGCCGCATTATCACAGGGTGTCTGCGCCCTACACCACTGGAGAAATTACACTGTCTAGCCGGTATCGCACCACCTGACATCCGCCGGGAAGTAGCAGCCAATAGTGAAAGGACCAAGGCAGAGACATCTCCAGCTCATCCCCTGTTTGGGTATCAGCCAGCACGTCAACGACTTAAATCCAGACATAGTTTTCTAAGATCTACAGAGACACTTGCTGGAACGCCTCAGCAAGCGAGAGTCCAAAAGTGGCAGGCTCAAACCCAGAACCTCAACCAATGGCTGATACCAAATGAGAGACTCCCCCTGGGCACACAGAGGACTGGGCGACTTGGAAGGCGCTGAATAGACTGCGCTCTGGCACCACGAGATGAAGAGCCAACCTAAGAAATGGGGCCACAA